GTTCATGTCCAGACAGCGAGGAAATGGCCAGGAGCTGACAAGCGGTTCTGGGTCCCACAGTTCAGATGTGGCCCACGTAATACAAACAACTCAACTCTCTGCCTTCCAGTTTGCCCCTCTGATGCTCAAATGGGCACTCAGTAGAAATCGTGCTGAAGTTCAGTAGTAGGAATGAGATCACACAACTGTAGGGAAGACTAACTTGAAAATGTTTGGAAATCTTCAATGAACTACTACTGTTTTTCTTAATCCGTTTAGGACTGTTTTTAAGACTAATCAAATTCCACATCCTACATGTTACAAGAGTACAAACTGGTAACAAAGGCTGCAGGTGTGTGTCTGTCACATACTAATTGATCAGTGCTATTTTTATAGTGCTCTGAAGGCATCAGTTTCTTCACACAAGACAAATTCCATTCTTCAAACAACTTTTGGTGGGAACACACCGGGAGATTATTGCAAACAGTGAAGAAAGAGTGGATGAGTCAAAGACAGTCAGAATAGCTGACTGCAGGATAATGCAGTCAGCATCTTAAATTTACATAACAATAGGGAAAAGAAGGGTGCAGAATCACTGCATTACTGTCACTGCTGTAATGACAGGGGCAGGCTTTCCACGTGGGCCTGAAACTATGGGAGCATGAAGAGGAAGGGGAGTGCACCCATAGGGGACAGCCTTGAAAACACATACTAGACAGACAATAATTATGAATTATCTTAACGCAAAGGTTTTGTTTATTACCTCGAGTACAAGAAGGGAAATGTCCTGAGCTGTCCCAAGTGTCATTCTATGCTGCAGCCTCAGGAAGGGAGCATGGCACTGCCTCACTACAGAGATACGAATGCTTGCCTGCACTGTGCAACAGATTTCCTCTCGGTAGTACAGAAGGAGCCCTGCTTCTGTCAGCAGAGAGGTGCTTTATTTCCCAGGCTGACGAAGCAGCATCTTAAGAAACAAGCGTAGTCTGAGGTGACAGGGTGGCATGAAGCAATTCCCCCCATGTAAATTTAGTGGAATTCCTCTGACTCATGCCAGTGAGAGCCAAAGGGCCAGAACCTGTAACGTGGTGGAGGATCAGAAGGAGACTGAAAAAACCCACTGGAGACCAAGCACCTGATCTGGACCTTGGTTATACATGTGAAAATCAGCTGTGGCTCCAGCAAAGTCAATAGCTGCCAATTAGTGCATAAATGAAAATAATATCAGATCCAAAACAGCCAGACCTTTGCTTTTGTTTTAGAAAAAAATATAGATATTATTTCTGTAGGGCCGAACCCTCCATAGGGAGACACACAGGCATATTTTTGGCTCACTGTAGCTGAAGGGGCAGTATCCTTCAGCTGTACTTTTAAAATGTACAAGGTATATTCTGCCACATTTGCTTCTGATGATTTGGTATGAATAATTAAGAAATTTGATCTTCTGGTTATGTGATACCAGTACTGCTCTTTTTAAGGGACAAAACCATAGAAAGCATTCAGATATTGCAATAAGCAGTAACTTAAAATGCAGGAGAGAGAGAAAGATGTGTTAGAACTGCTCATTCCTCTGATTATACCTAATTTGCTGAAGATACCCTGCTTTTGTAATGGATAATATATTTTGGTGCCTGAGCATAGTTAGAACTCTTTTAAAATCTGATCCATAGCGTTTGACCATAACAGAAGGAGATCCTTTCACAGCCATAAATACTAATTATGTTTTAATCTTTTGCCAGAGATAAGGATTGCCTAAAAATATGGGAATCATTAAAACATGCGTTCATTTACAAGAATCCCTGTAATATTACAGCAGAAGATTATCAGCCTTTCATGGAGTTAGCAAGTCATCCTGTACCCTGTAACAAGGTAACAGTACAATGCATGGTGGGCTGCTTAAGTAGGATTGTTGTGGATGACATGTCTGTGCAGTGCTCTGAGTGATGGGATCTTGTCTGTAATGACTGCGAGGGTCTGTAGGTGGATGAGGATGGTATTTTGCTCTTGTGCTTACTGTGGCAGTCCTGCAGTTATCACCTTCGGACCATAGTAACTCTGTTCATTCCCTATCGCTGGAAATCATCCCTGTGTCAGGCTTGCCCCAAACCTCAGTACCAGGATCATCCTGGCAAAGTGATGGAGATGTCCTTGTTCCCTGAGCATACAGCTGTCTGTAAGGAGCATGCTATCATGCTGTTAGTGGGACACTGCTTCCAAAAAGCTGCTCTTCCATGTGCAGTTCAAAAGCACACAACAAATTAGGTATATATCCTATGAGAAATAGTCAAAACCATTCTTTCAAAATGCTTTGCAGGCTGAACATGTTCTTTTCCACAAAAAATAACTACCCAAAAAGATTTTGGAAATGGGAGCGTGGGCTGCAGAAATAAGAACTGACTCACTAAGATGAACTTGCGGCATTTCAATAAAAACTAAAACTCCTTCATTATCATGAAAACTTTTTGTTTTTCTCCAGGAAAATTTCCTGACCAGGTCTAGTATAAGTATCACTTATTAGACATTGTACCTTATTTCACAGTCACTGTTTTGGAGCAAGACAAGTGACCTCGCTCATCGTTATACAAAATCCAATCAAAATTTCCTTACCTTGGAGGACACCTTGTTGGGTTATATGGCTGATAGGGTTTCATGGTGTGGAGACCCCTCTGCCCCAGGTAATAAGTCCTATTTTTTGCAAAACAAATATGAATGCTGGAATTCCAGATTATTCTTTTCTCTTGTATATCTAGACCGAAACACAATCCTTTTCACATATTCTTTTCTTGTAATTTAGTTTAAAACGTTAACTGTATTTATGTCCCAAGTTATGGAGGACTGAAAATAATACTTAGTTCTCAGGTTAATTTAAAAAACACAACTTTGGCTGTTATTAAAACACCAAGTTGCTGCTTGGACTAATGGTCACATCTAGTCCTCTTTATGTAGATTACTTGCTTTCTTCCTGTGACTTCTATGGCACAAATTACAAAACAAGAATGCTGGTCAAAAAGGTCCTGGCCATAGGCCAGTCAAAGTGGTGGGGGCAACAGGTAGGTACCCTGGGGTTATTGCTGCCCACATGACTCCTGGGTTGGTGCTTTAAGAGTAGCAGCCTCTAAACTGGACTGGAATTACTGAAAATGTTGGGCAAAATTTAATTTTTCAATGCAATCGGACAGTATTTGTCAAGAGCCAACCTGTTTCTCACATTTAGGACTACATGTTTTCTCTTCTCAGTTTTCTGAGAATTATTTGCATACAGGGCCCGCAGCTGCCTCCCTGAAACGTGTGTGAGCAAACGGGAAGACCTTTGAACACATGCAAATTCCTTTTCCTCTTAGAGCCCTTTCCTCATGTAGCCTTCTTGCTTTGGTAAGGGGCAAATCTTTTTGCCATTGTTAATCAGCTCTCAAAGCCATATAAACATTGCAACAATATTCATTCTAACCTTAGCTATTCTATAAACGCATTTCTTCTCAGGAATCAACTATGAATCTTGTCCAAAACGAAGTGAATGTGAGAGCAACCCTAGTTCTGTATTCTGGAAAATGGCATCCAAGATGGTAAGATCTAGAATAAATCTCCCTGAATCCAAGAATGTTGAAAGGCACTAAGTTCCTGACACTGCCAAAAATGTGAGTTTACAGATTGGACTTAGACCATGGAATAGTAAAAGTTCACATGAGCTTTAGCCTCAGGTGCTAAAAATTGTGGCATTGGAAATTTGTATTTCCAAGGTCCCATATTTTGTGTACAATATTTAAAGTCACTGTAGTTTTGGCATTCTTATTTGTGGACAGAGACTGTGTGCCAGTGTCTAGAACAACACTTGGCAGACAGCTGGAGCTTTGCAAATAGTGCTTACAATAATAATAATCACCACCTTAATTAAAACACAGGACTGAAATTGCTAAAATAAAATACATTATAGCATGTTAATGTTGAGAGCAGTGCCTAAATTGGCACAGAAATTTTCCAAGCACCTGAGAATCCCCTTGCACCTTCCCAGCACAAACCTGAAGAGCGCATCCTCCCCACAACAGTATCTGGCAAGTCTCCCGACGGTGTACCCACCTGTATGCGCGTACCGGCTCCCATCATGTGAATGAGACCCTGCTAGTCCGAGTTAAGCAGTTAGCCTGGCTTTGTTGAATCAGCACTTTACAGAAAAACACTGCCAGAAAAAAGTCTGCTCTCCTGCATCAGTTTATTTTTACATGTCTCTCAAGACTTCACCCTTGATAGAACTGTAGTAGATAGTAGATGACTGCCCAGGTGGAAAACAAGCATTCCTGTATGCTTCAGCTCTCATGTACCTAAGAAAAAGTCTACTCACTGTAAAAAAAATTGTTTTGTGGGTAAACTAGTGTACATAAGCATTCCAAGCTCAAAGTAGTTTTTATGTTCTCATTAATCCTCTCAGTTCCAGAGTCTGTGAGGGATAAACCACCATACAGAGTCAGGCTTGTTTGACTGCAGGCTTTCTAGTCCAGACAAATTTAAGATCTACTAAAACTCATGCTTATTACATTAGAAAGTTACACATAATGAAACTTTCCTGCAACTTCACAGCTCTCAAGGTCTGAGTTTGAGCCACATTTTTTAGATGTATGAGGGCTTGGAAGACTTCATAAGTACAGTCACCTGTGTTAAGCTTTTTAAAAATTCTTTGTCTTTCCAATGGATTACGTATCTAGAGTGGGTACTTTATATTGTAACCTTAGTAGTCTCTAAATATTTGGACATGAGTTTTAAAGAATAAAAAGGCAGTGATTACATGATCCAGTAATTTAAAAATCAAATCAAACAAAACTCGGCGATGAGTTTTACTAAAACAATTGGGGAGAAAAATCCCAAGCCACAGAAGAACACACAGCATGACTCACAAGGTAACAAGTACACAATGGTTTGTATGTTCTTAAACTGGTGGTACCTCTGTTCTGGCTTGTCCTCACCTCCCGAGTTAAAGCAGTCTGAGGATTATTCCAAGTTACTACAGCCCCGTCAGGCAGCTGCAGCTGCTGGGATTCTGGAAAGCCCTATAAAAACTGAAAACAGCAGTGACAGCAAAGTTGCTGTACCAATCCCATGCAACCTCAGACTGCCAATTCATAGCCGGCTAATGCAGCTTTATCACAGTTTTGCCATAGCCTTTAGAGGCTTTTTTTTTTCACTGACATGTTCTGCAAAAGTACTGGCCAGATCCTCTACTTGTGCAAGTCAGTTCTGATGACACCAAAGAAGTTACAGTAATTTCTGCTAGCCCTGAGCCTGATGTGACACTGCATGTAGTGTCAGACTATAATGTCCATTTGTTTTGTTCAGTTTGCAGAAGCAGCATGCGGTGTGGTTCAAGTGATGCTCAATGGATCAGTAGAAGCTGGAGCTTTCAAAAGCAGCAGGTATTTACTCAGCATGCTACCATCCATGTTTCTCTGGGACCTGCATGCAGGTGAATGTGTCTTTGCCAGTAAGTTCCAGTAGAGAATGGATTTCGGTAAACTCATATAGGGGTCTAAACCACTGGCTATTGTAGAGCTGATTCACTAACTCCTTCTATACAGTGACTGTAATTGAAATCCTTCAGAGAGTATACAGATAGGGTATCCAGTATGCTTTTACTACAAATATGTAACTTTATTACTACAGTTTATTTATTCATTACACATGAATTATATGTTTCTAGCTATTCATGGAGCTGACTGGATTTTATCCCTCCAGACTGTGCTTCCTTGGGTTACCTGGCTGCAAGTGCGGTCTTGAATAATATTGAAAGATGGAGAATTTGCTGATCGAGGGACCAGCCACATTCATTTCCCTTGCACCAAACTGAACCAGTAGCCAATAAACCAAACAGGAGAAAAGTCACTAAAGAAGGAAAAAATTCATCTTGTTTCAGTCTGCAGACAGTTTCAGAAGTTCTCCTGAAAGTGAAATAAGACTGGGGAGAACATATTTTACCTTAAGGCAATTAAACAGTCTATGAAAATCCATTGGCAAGATAATGTTCTTTCACTGAGAATAATAGCAGCACTAATAAGCACTAGTATTTGGGGAACATACTCCGTACAGCTTTGTCAGATAACTAAGGATGTTTTGCTTTTTCATGTCCCATTCTTACAGCATCTTCGGAAGTATTGAGGTCTTTAACCTAAATCCAGATAAAGTCTCTGCAGTACACATTTGGCTTATGCATGACATTGGTGGACTTCAAAGGTAAGTCACGCCAGCATGAAATGATGAGCAGTGTGTAGAAAGCAGACAGCGCAGCTCAGTTCTGATGAGTGACTGTCTAACAGTGACACTGTCTTAAATCTGCTCACAAAATCTGCTGTACATTCACTCTCCTAGCCGCTTACTTTACTGGAAAGAATAACATTTGTACTGTTGTTTTCTTCAGTATTTTTCGTAGGTACTGCTAAAGAGTTGTAGCTAAGACACAATTACATTTTCCTTTCTTTCAAGAAATCCCATGACCTTTAAGTTCCTTCCAAGCCCACTGAGCTTTATAGACCTTTATTATGGGTGCAGCACTGAAGTCACAGAGCAGCCTACGTTTGCAAGGGTGAACAGCTGGAAAATATGTTTGTCTACAGGAACAGTATAATTATGCTGAGCAGAACCATTTTGGTAAAACAATTTCAAATGCTGGAACAGGTTTCCCAGAGAGGTTGTGGAGTCTCCATCTGTGGACGTGCTCAAAACTTGACTGGGTCCCGGGCAACTTGCTCTAGCTGATATTGGTTGGACTAGATGATCTCAAGCAGTCCCTTCCAACCTAAATGATTCTGTGATTTTTAATAACTAATCTGTAGTTTAAATGCTTACCATGGAAATTCTGATACCTGAACAGTGACCTCAAATCACATCTGAGCCTTTCAGAGTGACCTTTTTCATCCCCATCACATTCATTTGCAGATCTATCACATTTAAAGCACTGAGCATGAGGCTCAGTGCCTTTGACCTCTGTCTTCAGAGCCAGTTCTGTGGTTCACCTGGTTATAATGCACTGCCATGGTTTTTCCCATTCCTGAGGACCCTCCATGATGGAGGCAGCAGCTTTGATGCCGTGGGTCAGGAAGCAGGTGGTGATGATGCAGTGCAACTCATGAACGAGTGTGGACCCAGCAGACACCCTTGCTTAGACGGCCTCACTGTCTGACACAGTACCAGCTCCAGTGTTGCAACCCCTCCCCTAGCCCAGACACCCAGAAGTGTCTCTGCCACACAAGCTGACATACCTATCACAGCTCACAGGCATGCATCTGTCCTGTGGTCAGCATGCCAGACATGCTCTTGTGGTCCATTGCATAGAGGTTTACAGAAAAAAAGGACATGGAGTAATCTGTACATTAGTTCCTCCAGACACAGCACTTGATCCTTTCTTCCATGATTTCCCAACCTCAGAAAAACCATCATGCTCCTCCTCAACAGCTTCAACAACCCAGTGCCCTGCCAGCCTTCTTGGCATATCCTCCTCCTGTGCCAAGTTCACAGCAGTTTCCTTTTTCTTTTCTACTTACTTCCAAGAAGAAGGAGGGAGGGTAACTCCAATAATGTGCATTCCTTTTATCTTCTGATTTGTATTCTGTGTTGAATCACTGGTAACATCTGGCAAGTCTAGTGAACAACAACTCTGCTTTCCACTAATGCCATATGTTAGGAACTGGATTCGCCCGAGTATTGTATTATTGCCCTGATGTGTGTCCTATACTCTGGACCAGGAGATGACTTTTATCCCGAAGTAACAAGTCTTTTGCAGTGTCTCTGTCTGTGTCTCTCTGTCAGTCCTCTCACTACAGCTTTGGGCCCCCTTGGGTTATTTCAAGCAAGTTAAGCATAGAGATAAAGATCTCAAAGGTATGACATTGCTACGTGCTTCATGAAACCATTAGCTGGATGGAAAAGAAATACACAAGTTAGGAATCCTACCAATAGCAAAGTGGTTGAAACAGCCCCTTGTCGAAACAGAATAGCAGGAGCCACAGACTGAATCAAACAGATAGGAGGTGCTCATAGCCTCCTTCCTCCCATGTTTTCTACCTACTTCCTCCTGTCTTACGTCCTACCTGGGACTTAGCTGCTGGTTTTCATGACTGGCCCTTTCTCATCACACAGAGGACTTGATCTCTTTGTCCTTCCACAGATTTGAATGAGCCTTGTATCATGCTCCTGTGGATGGGGGCCACCAGCAGCTCTGGAGCAGTTCTAGAGCATGCTGAGCTGTGAAGGGAACTGAGCTATTTCCCACAGATACCTTCTTGCACAAAGTTCTTGTGCAAGATGCACAGCTGAACATCACATAGTTTCTACCAATAAAGGCCCAATGGTAGCCAAAACTCCACAAACCCAGTGGACTTCACACCACATTAGCAAACAAGCTTTTAAAGAGTTACCTGAAATAAAGCAAAGTGACATACTGTGGAATTTAGCTGAGCTTCTTGTATACACAAGGAACACAAGTAACAAAAGACTTTTCTCTCCAGTGAATCATGCTCAGGTCATTCCATAAGGAGGTTAACGAGTATCTTAGAAGAGCGAAACTTTAAGATCACCTGTGAAGACAATTACAGGTAATTACTTGCTCTTATTGGTGACAACTTGCTAATATAAAATTACTATTGCATCTCCCTCTTGACTTAATATAGGTTTACAGCAAACTAGAGCAGACTCCCCTCTTACTGCCATCATGTCCCTTCAATGTGGCCGTGTGCTTCTCAGGAGCTTCCACTTGTGCTGCAGACCTGGTGTTCGCTGGGCCTGGGGCTTGCTTTCTGCCCTGTACTTGCCATTAAGCATGTTCAGTTGCCTTCAGGGAAGGAGCAATCCAGCCTCCTTCAAGAGATTTTCACCTGGCCAGGCTTTTACCTACAATAATCAGAAGCAAATAGGCAGCCTTCCTCCCTGCTGCATGCAGATAGTGCAGTGTGTCAAGGATGGTCCTTACTTCCTTCGTGATAGTTTGAGTTTACTTTCTGTCCAGGTGCTTTGTCAGAGAGTGAGGCATGAGACACCGTAAGCACTATTCATTACTATAATTCACCATTGTCAGGAGAGAAAAACAGGAGTCCAGGAAACAGCAGCCCAAGTTCTGACTTGCCTGAAATCTCTATATGCCTGCTGAGGAGACACAAAACCCTGAGACCCTGTATCTCTCTGTGTGGGTTCAGAGATCATCACACAGAGAAAAAGTGTTCTTTAGTGACATTAGAAAAGCAGCAAATGCTCAATATTAGTCACCTTACATGTCAGGAACAGCTTTTTTGAGTGAAGAACTCATACTTGGATAAGAACATTTCCAAAGTAAACATTTCTATAGACTACTGAGTTCATGATATTAGTTTTAAATAAGGAAAAGTTGGTCTGCAAAGGAGGCAAATGCCTTATCTGGTGATAGGACTTTAATCCTGAAGGCAGAGCAATATATTCCTGTTTAGGTGTTGCTGAACCCGATTAATGGATGCTGTGCACATTGTGAAAAAATTAACACTGGTGTGGTGCATAAATCTGCCAAATCGTGATGCTCGTGTACTCGCTTCCTCTTTGGGTAAGTGCAGCCTTTAACCAATACTCCCAGGACCTGTAAGTAGGTACCGATTATTTCAGCCTATGATGCAATAAGCTAAAGGGCCAGGGAGGAAGGGGAAATAAGTAGTAGCTTATATTCCTCATGGCTCAGTGCAAAGAGAAAGGTGTAACACATCATGAAGGGTTGTTGACACACTTATTGCTGTGGCTCACAACTGGCTTCTTAAGGTAGAATAACAAGTAGGGCTTTTTGTCAGAGCTCAAGTAACACATACATAAACAACTGTGTACAGCAACACTGACAATTAATTTTACTATTTTATATACAGAGCAATAATAAAATAAGCAACTTACATATGCAGTAAAACTCTTCAGGATAGACTGTGGAAGTTAGCTTCACTCCCCTGAAGTCCTTGCAAACAGAACTGTGTGGGTCTGTGTCAGCTGAGCATCTGGCTTTTCATGCCATGTAGCAATTGATGCTGATCATTTTCTCTGGCTTTTGTCCATGTCAGCACCATCTTCCAGAGGTAACTCAAAAACTAGATTTGCTGGATGTACTTCTAGCAAAAAATCTGATTGTATCTGACATCGTTAGCAGCAGCTTCACATTGTGGCAGTAGGGGTTTGCACTCAGTAAGCAAGATGCTGAACTTCCAGCATGGCAGCAACTCTGTAGGCTGTGCAATAGATCTTCTTTTTCATAACTATTTTTGTTATTGCAGCGTAGCTGACATGCTGTGAGTTCACACCCTGCTTTGAATTTCATACTCACTTGCTCTTGTCCCTAGCCCCTATAAACACCAAAGCTATCTTTCTGCAGCAAGATCTAAAAAATTATCCTAAGACACCCACTTGATAAGCACAGATGTAACATGCACTTTGACTTTCACGTTGCATTTAGTAACTGTGGAGTTTTTCTGGTGTACTTGCAAAGTGGTTACTAAATATTTGTTTGGTTTTTTTGTATTTTATCACAGGCCGGTTCAGCTCCTTCAGTGTGTGCACAACCCTGACCACACAGACTGCAGACTTTGCACCAACACCACAGCAACTCCGTGAACTGGAGTCCTCGCACTACTGAAGACTTTCGTTATTTGTGTGTAATGCTGGAAAAGATGTGGCTACATAGCTTAGAGTGATAAATAGTAGTGTGGTATGCGCACAGTCCATAACCAGAAATCCTTGCTGTGACACTAACAGCCAAATAACAGGAGATGATACTTTAGGTGTGATTCCTGTACACACATGCACACAAACGTACTATTTCGGGGACACGTTCGGTGGCTGAGGGCAGATGCTTTGCCCTGGTTTGCTCCCTCCTGTAGAGCTCCCCTTGTGCCCAGAGGCTCAGAGCAGGGGTTCCCCGGGCTGTGCACAGAGGAGAACGAGCCTTCCCAGTGAGGGCAGAACTCGCCCCGGTCAGCGCTCGGCTTCCTCCCCGCTGGAAGGCTGGATGGGAAACGGCTGGAGCGTGCTATGCTCTCCCTGTATTCCAGTGTAACGTCCCCCAGAGGGGAATATTGCCCAGTGGCACATAGTATAAATCATGTTTCTCCCAGGGATTGTGGCACCTCTAGGCAGGTAAAGCAAGCGATGGAAAAGGCAGAGCAGTTCTTACCTTTTAATGGGCATCACAGTAAGTGGCTGGTGGGGAAACAGCTGAGCTGAGCCAAGAAAAGACCAGAAACCACTCAGAGGGTTGCCAGCATCTGTAAGAAGGTATCGAGTGTGTAACTGGGGAGAGAAAATAGCAAGACTGACTCAGACAGCTCCATTAAAATCCTACTGGAATCACCGTTGCAGTTCACATTACATTTTATTCTTAATATAGCAGTAAGTGTAAGCCTTCCAGCTTTCATAAAAGGTCCCTCAGGCTGCAACTTGGCCATCCATTGGAATAGAGACAAACATCGAAAGGTTGACACAATAAGGAGTCTCTCTTGACCTCAGTTTCTGAGGTGAAAGGTGATGCCTTGCAGTGTATAATTCACAAGCACGGACATGCCGTAGTACACTGAAACAGCAGGTTTCACTGATTTCCTTTCGTTTCTATTTTGTCAGTCTTATATGTGTAGTCAAGTGCAGTGTTTATAACAACAGAAAGATCTGAGGCCAGCTTGTGGCTGTGGCTGTGGTGCCTTTGTGCAGTGCCGCTGGCACTGAGAGAACAGAGCAGGCTTTGCTACAGACACACTCCCAGGTGTTGCGGTGCCAGTGTAGGTCGTTCGGCAGGCCGAGGTTTCCATGATCCCACAGGTAGGAGGTTGTAATGCCATGTGTTTTAGTGACTACCCAGAGTGTGAAGCATCCTTATGGAACTATACAGGCTGACTAGATAAACCTTTTCTCAGTAATACACAGGCCTGCACTGAGCATAGCTGGACCACACCCAAGACCTCACCCATAATGTTTACATTAAGTGAAATCTGTTTTTCTTTGCACTCTGTTATGTTAATAGTTACATGCATCGATGCAGACACATACCAGTACTTTCAAACAGGTTATTTCTGACTATAGGTCAAGAGTTTGTCTTCATGCTCACTTTTGTACCTCTTCTGTTGTAATATAAAATGTTGACAGTAAAATAGGCTGTATAAAATTGCTGATGGCAAATGTTGTTAATTCTGTTTCACATTCTAGTTAACCTCAGACTTAACATGGAAATAAGCCACTTCCTAAAAATAACTCAGAAATTCATTCAACATATGAGACTCTACATATACCCACCCCAGAAAGCAGACAAAGGTCACAGTGTGCATCCTCCCTGGACTGTACTGTCGCTGCCTCACTCTCCACCTTATACACAGAAGGCATTGTCTCTGTAGGTGACTGCAAGCAAAACATCCTCTGTCTTTATCTTGAACACAAGGCATCCAGATATATATGTTGTTCTCAGCCATATTAGTTAAGAAAGATCACTGTTCTTATCAGCAGTTACATAGTAAAATGCTAAGAAGCAAATCTGTGTTTTTGAAAGATGAGGTGCACACTTAATACAGGCAATTGTGCTGGAGTAAATGACAGCTTTGTAACACAGGTGGTTGGTAAGAAAGTTGTCCCAGCAAAAAGTCTTTCTTTCAAAGGCGTGTAAAATGACACATCTTTACAAGGAAACTTGGCAGTAAACAAAGTTAACGTTAGGGAAATAAATGAACTTGCGATTGCCTGGTTTCATTCTGGCTGATTACCCTGCTGCCAAGAGGGGCTGCAAATTTTGTGGATTTGCAGGTGGATGTACTGAGAAGAGGGTGCAGGACACTAATGGCTCATTTGCTTTTCCCCTCATTAGCACTTGCAAAGGGAGAAGGGTCAGCCCAAGTACGGTGGCTGTGGTGTGCTCTGGGCACACCTCAGCCCCTTTCCCCAGTGCCACTCCCAGTGCCCACAGAGCTTGGTGTCCTCTGCTGTGTCCTGCTGCTTGTCCTTAAGGAGGGAGCACGAACGTTGGCCCGCTTTGTTTATCAGTACAGATGCACTGTAGGTGTACATCTGGCCCACTAAAGCGCACTCAAGTCTGTGCTGCTCGGATTACATACACAGCAGAACACGAGTGAGCTCGTTTCCAACAAGCATCTTTATTAGCCATGATCACACATTTGAAATGCCATGCAGACGTGCCCTACCAGACAAGTATAATTCCTAATTTTATTGCTCTGCTGAAAATTTATAAACCAAAAAACCTACCAAACCAATACAAAGTATCCCAATTTCACAGAAAATTAAATAAAAGGAAAAATAATCTATGCGATTTTTCCACTACATGGAAGAAATGTTTCTTAATATAGTTTGAAAAATGTTGGGTTTTGAAAATACGCTTTCAATCTGATGAAGCTAACCTCTGTCACAATTTGTTAAAGATAAATGTGCTAGCTTGTGCCCCAGGCCCATAGCAAACACTGCCAAAGAGCACTGCCCAGAAACCCAAGAGGAATCTGAGTTACTGTGTGATAAGGTGATACCAACGTTACACACTCCCAGATCCACACAGCACTGGGAAAGCTACTTCTGTGACCCTATTACCGCAGCATTGCTGCTCCCCCAGTCTTTGATGTACTTAACCTGACCAGAGCCTGCAATTATTAAACTTATTTTTGAGACTAGGAAACAAATGAAATACAGAAAGATTTGTTCTCCTTGCTAGCCATCACTTGGCCTTGTGTTTGATTTAAAACATGTCAGCCTCTTCTAGGCTCAGGAGTTCAAGAGGATGGTACCCAAACAGCCTGAATTCCACTTAGGGCCATAACCCTCCCGTTTACCTGAGCTGACCCCAGGTAACGGCCCCCTCACATCCCTTCAGCCTCCTGCATCTCCCTGCCATCACCCATCAGGGACCACTAGGCCTCTCCATTGCTTATGTGTAGGGACGTGGGTGAAATTAACAACTGTGACTATAGATTTTCATTTAAAATAACAAGCCTTACAAGTCTAGAGAAAAATCTGAAAACTAAAAATAAAGGTTTGAACATGTGAAGGGCAATAAACCTTACCCTCAGCAACCATTTATTATTTTTTTTTAAGCTTCTTTTTGAAACTATTGTCCTGCTTTTTTTGGAGTCCAAAATTCTTAGTGCAGTGCCTGTACCATCATCTATGGTAAAAAGCCTTTGGAGAGGGCACTCTGATTTTGTTTATATGTGTGTTAGCAGCATACAGTGCAGTGTGTCTGGATCCCCCTGGACACTGGCAATAGGAGAGTGGTTTTGGATAGGACTCAACGTAGCTGCAGCACTGCAGGGTCAGAGGTAGAAGTTTCCCCTTGCTTGATTTGGGCTGCCCTTTATGTGTGTACCTGGGAAGACTCTCTAATACTCAAAACAGTGACCCTCAAACATTGTCTTACATAAAAGAGCTGAGTAGAAAGAGTAGAAAAATGAGATTAGCAAGTCTTCAGGTAGGAAACTCTGCGAGCAGGCTGCATCTCAGAAACTCTCTCTTAATATCATTTACAGGCTTAAGACAACAATTAAATGTGCTAAGAGGCTGATCCTTCCTATTAAATAGTTTGAAAAAAGTAATACACTGGCTAATCCAAAGAAAACAATATGCATGTAAAACGTGAAGGCTGGTGAAAAGATAAAAAACAAATAGTATGGCTGAATGACAGAAGCAAAACCACAGTAAATTCAACAGGAGCTGCAGCAGCGGAAGAAAAACATGTATAAAAGATCTAGCTATGTAGTTGGATCATAACACCCACACCGCCTACATACCTGTGACTGTGGGGTGTACGTCTACCCGTCCTCGAAGTCGAAAGGCTGGATTCTGTGTTTGACTAAACCACAGAGAGCTGTGCAGGCTTAAGCTGTCACCATGCAGCCTTTCCAGTTCGCTCCTTTACCTTGCAGCAGCAGCATCCCTCTGTTCTGCCAACACAAATGTTTCATGAAACTCCTGATGAACCAGGACAGGCAAATGGTCTGGGGAAATACTTTTTTTTTCGCTGCTTGGAGAAAAAAAGAGCTTCTATCTAGCTGAAAAAATGTGAATCAATGGGGGTTTTTTGTTTCAAACTGTATGCTTGTTTTCCTCACTGCGTTGTGCAGCGGGAGAGGGCGGCTGCCTGCTCCATGTTCCTCCTTCCCTGTGTGCCACTGCTTGCCCAAATCGGAGAAGCCCAAGCAGCACATACAGCAGCATCTGCTCCACACCAACGCATCTCACAGCAGCACTGCCACCTTAACTCTGATTCATTTCACTACTGGGATTTGGGTGTACATTGAGGGAAAGAAGAGCGGAGAGGGTTAAAATCCATACTAAATACTTTAAATGGTAGGATTCATATCATTTAAGATTAGCCACCTGATTGTACCAGCTTTCTCTACAGTTAAAGAAACAAACCAGGCACCTCTGGAAAGCAGTTATCCCCCTCTGCACTGGGGGGGTAAGACAGTAGGGATGATGTGTGCTTCCACACAAGCTTCTTATCTCTCTCCACTGACTATGAAAGTTGCCTAGATTACTAGCTCAAATTTATAAAATTAGCTTCCAGGTGGCTAAAGTTGCATAAAATGAATCCCAAGCTTTAAATGTTTTTCTGTGAGAAATATTCCCAAATA